TTAGTTACTTTTAGTTTCGTTAACGTAAAAAAAGTTAAGTTTAGTTTACGTTTACTTTACTTAGGTTCGTACGTAGTCCTGCCCCCCCCCCCCCCCCCCCCCACTTATCGTATTTATATAGCTATGAGCTACCGATCGAAATAAAATGTAGGATGTAAGAAAAACACTACCTAAACCCCTTTTTTTTAGGGATAAGTGTGACCAAACTTCGTAACCAACATCATAAATGGCCTAGATTAGCCCCTGCAGGTACTGTGAAAAGAAAATAACCATTACATAAACTAAAATCATGTGTAAGTTAACATTGACTTTTCAAATACTAATGACAAAAGTAAATGAATTTTGTTAAATAATTCATAACTTAATGATTTTAACATAAGGTTGGAGGTTTTGAAGTATTCTCCAATGTACATTTTGATGAAAAAGTTTTCATTATGATTATGTCTGTTCTTTTTTTCTCTTTCAGTGGTAATAATACTTTATTAAAAGTGTGTAGGGTTGAACCTGCTAAACATTCCTTAACATAGAATTTATTATCTGTTGAAAGATGACTTGAACATAATAGAAAGTTCTATGGATATTTTGATTGTCAAGGAATATGTAAGATCTTGATGTGAATTGAAAATAGAGGATATTTTATTGATAAGCAAACATTTATCATACCTTTAAAAGTGAAGTGTGACTCAATTCATTGTACTGACATCTTGGTGTTTTATGAGTTAGTGAGGCCATTAAATCTTAAAAAATAGGATAAGATTTATTATATGTTTAGTTCTTAATAGATGAGATGTGTATGAAATTTCTGTCATTAGCAACTAAATATTTGAGTTCTTGTGAAATCTGATTAAGAACAATCTGTGTGGCTCACTAACCATATTCTACATCTAGAGTTGGAGTTAACTTGTTCGGTGTTGCTGTTGAGATTGTGCCATTTGTGAACTGCCAACTCGTATCGTATTGCCCAGCATTGTAATAATTAACCAGACTAACCTACCATTTAATAACAAACTCATGGTACTTAGTACAAAAATATCTTTGTTTTTTAACCTGGCAATGACTTGTTATCCCGGATATGAGAACAAACCATTGCTTACTCCCAGGTGAGTGAGCCAAGCAGACAAGAAAGGGTCTTGTGTCCAATTTTGGCCACATTATTGTACTTCATGATCCTAAAGCTTCTAATTATTTTTACATTTTCCCATGGATCTTCATTTATACACATTCAGTTCATTTTTGTATAAAGAGGTAATTTTTCCTCATGTTGTAATAAAGCTGCCGAGTTTGGAAAATTGTCACATGGAATCTTGTTTCATTTTTTAAATCTAATTTGACTGTGCCAGCTACTGGTTTAGACCCTTTCTACCCTGCTTGCATCTCACGCACTGATATCACCAGAGAAATGATATGTGTGATTTTAAAATGCATGATTAATTCTTAGAGATTTCCGTAGTATTAACAAGTAGATAGAAGAATAAAAGAAGGTTTGTGAAAAAACAGGGCTGAAAGGGTCATTCCAGTTTTGATTTTATCAAAATCTGTTTCATCATTAAAAAAATTCCTCTTTAGTTATAACTGTAGCTAGTGAAATATTTTCTCTTACCTTTCAGCCATGTTTAAAGAATGTAACTTCAATAATATATTCAACCAGTAACAAGTGTAAAAACATTTAGAGGTAATTATATAAAGTAACACCAAACATATTTACTACACATTGTGCCTCAAGCAGAGTAATTTACATGGTAGAAGTTTCTTTTAATGTACTTTTGATGCAATTATTTAAATTTTTTCTTTCGTATACACACTTTCTTTTTTTTTGTGTGGGTTCTCTTTTTTTTTTATGGAATTTCCTAACTGATTTACTTTTTTTTATGAACTATTATTGAAAAGAAATTTCAAGATTTATATAATTCATTTTTAGAATATAAATGTAAAAAAATGTTTAGAGGAAAGACAAGGAATTAACACATCTAGAAGAAACTTGAGAGTTATAGCTTCAAATAAGCTTTGCAGAGGTTTCAACTTATCTAACTTTCCATTTATGAAATGATTGTGAAGATTAGACATTTCTATGACAAAAAATTAAGACAATTAAATCAACTTTAGTGCAATAATCCCCCACCTTAAAAAAATGAATATATTTTCTTGTATTTTGTTAATAAAGAACATTTTACTTAACAATATGTGATGAACACCAAATAATGACATTTAGTATATTTTGTGAAACAGTCACAAATGTGAAAATCAAAGAAAATTCTAAAGATACGTAAGGAAAGTTCTTTAAATTGTTACAATGCAAAAATATGTATTTACAAACTTATGTTTGTGGAAAATATTTATTAGTATTCAGAGTTTTTCACTTCAGAGGATAGCTCAGAAGGAAACAGATGAGGTGTGTGTGGGTGGGTCATAACTGTTTCTTTGGTGTTGATAAACGATACAAAATATCCACTAACTAAAGATGAAGTAACTAGAAATAATGGGTCATTACATTTACATGTGAATTATTTTTAGTGAGCATATCTGCAGAAAGAGTTAGTATTATAGTAGAAACAGTTTAATTCTCTGAAGATAAAAAAGTGTTCCCAGATTGATATACAATAAAAAAAAAAGAAGTGTTTACAAATTGCAGATTTTTATTATGGTTAAAAGAAATGGTTGGCCCATTACCTGCAAACTTATAAGAAGTGGGGCTTTTCAGATCATTTTTACAAGGGCAAAAATAATTATCAATATCAAATAATTGCAGTATGCTTTTATCACTTTTCTAAACTCAGAATTGAAACCATTTTTTTTAGAAAAATAATTGATGTGTGGCAGGAGAAATATTTGTGAATTTTTTTTTCTCGGTATAATCGGTATATTTTTTAAAGTGATTTCTTGAGTTTATCATCACCCTTCTAGAATGGTTATTTCAGGGCTATTAGAACTTTTATGTTTTCATTGCTAATCTATTGTCATCACCATCACAGTTTCAGTTTTAAAGTAGGAAATTAATATTGTGCACAGAGCATGTTTAGTTTTATGATATAGGCAACACATATCTACTTACAGAGGAAGAATTGATGAAAGAAATGGATGTGCAGTTGCTAAATATTGTGATATGCCCCCCCAGTGGTATGTCTGCAGACTTACAATGCTAGAATCCGGGTTTCGATACCCACTGTGGTCAGAGCACAGATAGCCCATTGTGTAGCTTTGTGCTTCATTACAAGCAAAGAAACAAATATTGTGATATTTTATCATATTCTACAATTTTAAACATTGTTATGCATTCTCAATGGTGAAATTATACACCAATATAAAAATATTACAAAAATTAATAATCATTAAAAAAAACATTGAGAGAAATTATAAGTCTCATGCTTGCCTTAATACCATCACTACAAATTTTGCTTCAAATGAACTCTCACTTTCTCTCAACAAATTATAAAAGTAAACCATAATTTGAATGTGTGCCAATCATATGATTGTATACAGAATAATGCTATGTGAACAAAGAAAAAACTGCCTTAACAATACATGCCTTGAGAATTTCTTGTCACTGTTAACTAAAATATTAAAACATTACAAAAGGGCCACTCTGCATGTAACTCTTAAAAAACATTTCTCTCTTTTTTTTTTTTTTGTATGAATGAAGGAGAAATTCTAAATTTGTGGGCAGTGAATTTTATCAGCATGATTAACACCCATTTATAATTTTTTAATTATCAAGCCATAATTACTAACAAAACAAACTAAGTTGTGAGTATGGAGGATATTATTATAGTAAGTATCAAATCAATTATACTTTGTCTGAAAATAGAAAGAAATGGTTAAAATTGCTGTAAAGTAAAAATATGTAGTCATGTTTATACAAAATGATCTTAAAGAAGATCTAAAAAAAATGACGACGAACTTGGTACCTAGAAATAAAGGCCGCTCCCTGGTTTGGGGAAATCAAATACTGAAGCAGTGCACAGGAGATGGAAGGAAATTTTAATACAATTATATTTAAGTGTGCTGTTTGATGAGTTAGTTGAAAGCAAGGTAAAAAAGTTAGAAAGCGAGATAACATAAAAGTAATTAGATCATTAGTTGGTTACATTGGCCATCCTAATTGTAATTTTTGTTTATTATAAGAATTGGGTTGTGGGAACAAGTGAATTCCATGTCAGTCTTTTTAAAGTCAAATTACTTAAAGTCGTATTTACATGTTTATATTCTAGTTTGATATATGTTTACAGCAAAATGTGTGTATCATCAGCTTAATTTTAAGATCGTGTGATGGTGAAGAGATTGCGAAAATTAATGATTTAGCAATGTGGAATCCTCAATAATGAAAGATAGTTATAGATGGTTTTATATATATATGTATGCCTTTAAATAACACACTGTAGTTCTTTTGATCTTACTTCAATTTTAGGCCTCATCTAGTTTCCTATTATGTTGCCAAAAGCTGCAATTCCTATCTGTTATCGTGTCTCTAGCTGATAACTCATAACTGCTTTGTATCTAGAATCTGTACTGCTTAGCTTTTATGTTTGTGTTATGTTGTGAGGAACATTTATCTTTGATTGTGTCATCTTTCTCTAATGTCAACCAAAACTGTAGATTCAGATGACACTTCTGTTTGCTATGTTTTGCAACACTAGGTTTCATATGGTTCTTCTGTCTGCTATTTTGCATAAAATATTAGCCTTCAGTTGATATTACTACCAGCTGTGTTCTATGAAACTAGTCCTTAGCTTCTATCCCTATTTTTTTACCTTACCTGAAAGTCTGGTTTGTACCTGCTGTTTGTATTCACTGTGTTGCTTGTTTTTGAGCTAGTTCTCTTATACATTCTATGTTACCAGTGGCTGAAGCTCTCAGCTCCTTGCTGTGTTAGCTGAAATTGTAGTTTTCATGTTGTATTCTTAAGTATTGCCTAAAAATCTTGTCTTTAGCTGTTATCCTTATCTGCTATGTTGGTTGAAATTGTAGTTCTGAGTTTGTAGTTGTATTTATTAACTGAAATTGCATTTCTCAGATGCTGTTTTTCTCTAGAACTGTAGTCATCAGCTGGTTCTTTTATTTTCTATATTGTGTGATAATATAATCCATAGCTGCCTTTCTCATACGGTATGTCAATTAAAACCTAAATTCTCCACTTGTGCATCTTTCTTCTGAGTTGTATGAAGTCACCTTAAAGTTCTGT